CTATGTGCTTATTCGACAGTATAATCGCAGTCAACTACCTTCACTAAGCCTTCATGAGTTCGTCCATTTCACGGTTTCTTTATTCACATTCAACGACCCGTCCCTCTTGCTCTTGAGATGGGTCGACTGATTCTGAAGCTCAATCTGATCAGACGTATTCTACTTTCCTCAGCTCTGTATTTTTCTGACACGAGGAGGTTGGGTGGACAAGTTTGGGCGTGCTCAGCGATAATTTCAGTCTTTCAACTCTGTCGGGAAACCAAAAGAAGCTCTTTTCACCGCCTAGACCTCGACATTTCTATGCTTTTGGTTACCAGTTTGTACCGTTTTTATGATAGCATTCCAACTTATAATATTTCCCCGGCAAAGGTTCACTAAGTCTAATAAATTGTTTGCTAAAAGTTATTCTGAACAAAGTGTCTAGGAGCTTAGTTGAATGATGCTCGAAACTACAGAAACCACACTCACAACATCTGACGTGCTTCGGTCTATCTTCATCAGACCCGAAGCTTACTTGGCTTTACCATATGTTCACCTGACTTTAGTTGTACGGGGGGACTAGTCAGCTCTCATAGAGGGAAAGCACTGCCGATTCTCGGCTTCTACTTCTCGGCGCCGCCCGTAATTCTTAACTTTTCATTTCCGTTCATTCTCGTGCACAGAGTTGCATTTATCTATAGTATAACTAACATACGGAAATTATAATTTCACGCCTCGCCTACGCCAAGTAACGCAATAAAAGCTCCTGCCCGCATTCATATCAGCGTTGCGAGCTGTCAGCCGAGTGTTGGGTACTACACAGTGGGGTAACAGAGCTTGTAGCTCGCGGAATGAGTGAAACGCTTGTGCACTTACAACGCATGCAAGCGTCAGCTCGGCTCAGATACAGAGGTGTATGAATGACTCAGTTCCTCCTGAATATGAAATGCCTGTCGTAGGGCGATTTGTGTTGGCCGAAAGCAATGATAGTGGCATCGTAACAACAACACTGCTTGTTATTGTTCTTGTTGTCATTGGAGCTCCCTTTCGTTGGCGTTCATGGTACAGAGGCTTGCGGTCGGCATTGTTGTGCTGTACGCTTATTGTTGGTTTTTCCATTGAACATAACTCTGTCTCTGTGAATCAGTGTGTGTGTGTGTGTGTGTGTGCATATGTGTTTATGTATGTACGTTTACTGATAGTTTATATGCCTCTGGGGAAGGTGTCAGCGTTCCAACACTTGAACTAGATTGCGCTGGGAATTTATGGCGCCTCAAACGTTGTTTTTATTTCTTCATCTTTCTTTTTTGCTCCACAATTTCGAAGACCAGCAAAAAAAACAACAACAACATCCAATTCCTACGTCAACAACACCCCCGCCATCACTTTCTTACACACACATACACACACCCACACACACACCCGGTGGGATAGTTACCATAGCTTAGCTCAAAGCTACCGGGGGGGTCGGCAGGTCGCGGATAGCCGGACGGCCTGTAGTAACAGGTTAGTTGCGAAATAAGTTTAGACGAATAAGCAATCCCCGACGATGAGCGACAGGAGCGGAATATGCGGTATAAAAGCCGTTGAGTCCGATGATACTTCTGTGACAGTGGCGAATCGACGCCGCCTCTTGCAAATAGGTGTTGAATTATACAAAATCCAGGCGCGACGGACCCATAATGGGCGGCTCTCCTGGTCAGCGTCTGTTCACCATGTTAGGTGCGGCTGATAAAACAAATTGACCGGTACACAACGCGGCGCATTGGGAGTCCCTGGAAATTTCCACAGCGACGTCTCCGCTGATGGAATGGAAAGGGTGATGTGAGCTTTGCTCTGCCGAGGTGTCAGCCGCGGTGTGTATCAGTAAACAGCCATTTCGGTCCTTGGTCAGGGAGTGTGTATTGGACGCAGGAGTAGTAGCCGGCGTTGCCCCGGGCGAGCGCCAGTCCGTCCGTGTTTCCCGGGACTGGTAAAGCGAAGGACAGGCCTCAGGGAACTGGGGTAGGATCATGACTTCCGAGGGTATACCCGTTCCTGTTTATTTCGGCCCGCCC